TTATATTTATATAAAAAGACTAATAATAGTATGTTATACATCGATAGCAGCAACAGCTTTTCCAGGTTCTGCAGTCATCTGAACAAAATATAGACATTCAGCACATTCCATTAAAAACAAAACAAAACAAACAACAACAACAAAAAGAAAAGAATAATATCCTGAAAACAGCAAAGTTCTGTTGCTGTTGTGATGCCTGGGACCATTTTTTTATTAGCATCTTAATCATCATCTGGAAAGAGAACATTCTAGAGTAATATTAAATGTAGCTCTGATAAAGCACAGTTCCTACTATGTATCATATAGCAGGTACTAGATATTTTACATTCATAGAGGTATGATACAGCACCGTCCTACATCAATAATACTAGAATCAGTTTTGGTTTGAAATTTACTTTGTCTGCAAATAAAATTGCTACCCCTGTTTTTTTCTGGGCTCCTGTCACATGGAGAATTGTTTTCTGTCTTTTCGCTTTCAGTCTATGGGCTTCTTTTTGCGCTAGGTGTGTTTCTTGTATACAACATATTGTTGGATTTTGCTTCTTATTCCATTTCCCCCTGCAAACTTTTAACCATCATCTCTCACCTAGATGGCTGCAATAGCCTTCTACATGACCTCTCAGCGTTCTCCTCCTAGCAGCCAGACAAATCTTTTACAAATCCAAATTCAATCATGTTACTCACCTGCTTGAGACTGCCAATGCCTTCTTTCCCGTTGCATTTTGCACGCTCTTCTTTACAGGAATCCATGTTCCTATCAGAGTCTATAGACTCTATATAATCGGCCTGGCCCTCCCTGCTGACATTTCCACTCACCCTCTGCCCTTACACTAAGCCTCAACTATACTGGCTTCTCTGTTTCTTGACCACACCAACCTCTGCTCCATTTCGAAGTCTTCTCCTTTCCCTCTACCCAGAACATTCTTGGCCAAGTCCTTCTTGACTTTCAGATCTTGGCACCTCCTTGGAAAGTTTTTCCCTGACATTCCTACCTGAGTGACTCCTGCTACCTTGTCCCTTATCCTGACACATTCTGCATCCTTGAAGCATGTCTTTCAATTCATGGTCCTCGCTTGTTGGCTGTCTTTGCTACTAGATTGTTGGCTTCACGAGGATTGGGATCATATCTGGTTTTTGTGATTGTGTGTGTTTTTGTTTTTGTTTTTGTTTTTTGTACTGAGGATTAAACTTAAGGCCTCTTAACTGAGCTACATCTCCAGCCCTCTTTTATTTTTAATTTTAAGACAAAGTCTCAATCTCAAGTTGTCAAGCTGCCCAGGCTGGGCTCAAACTCACGATTCTCCCACCTCAGCCTCCCAGAGTGCTGGGATTACAAACATGTGCTACTGCATCTGTCTTCACGGCTGTTTTACACACCAGTGTGCCCCTAGTGCCTAAGCCAGAGGCTGGGATATGGTAAATATTCAATAAAGATTTACTGAGTGGGTGGGCCATTAGCCCTGGAGAGGGTGAAAGAGGTAGAGTGGACCCAGTCAGTGTTGTCAGGGCATACTGTGAACGCCACAGTCGGATGCGGAACAAAAGGTAACTGTAAAACTGGTGTAGAGTGGAGATCAGAACTGGGAGCAGCAGCAGCATAGAGAGGCTCCATCCCCATTGCAGTGTATGTAGGGGAAGAAGGGGGTTTGTTTACATGACCCAGGGCACCAGCATCTCCTTAGAAGAACATTTATTAGTGTGACAAGTTCTGCGTGTATTGTTTCTTGTTTGTTTTGTAACAGCGCCTTGCCACATCGCCCAGGCTGGCCTCCAACTGGCCATTCTTCTCACTCCAGCTCCCGCTAGCTGGATTACAGGATGTGCCACCAGGTCTAGCTTTGTTTTGTTTTAATGTACCCAAAGTTATACAGCTTCGAGGGCCAGGGATTTCGCTCAGTGGTTCCAACGCCTGCCTTCCAAGTGCAAGGTCCCGAGTTTGAACCCTAGTACCAAAAAAAAAAAAAAAAAGTTATACAGCTTCTAAGTGTTAGAGATGGGATTTAAAATCAGTCAGTAATTTCCCGATAGTCTCCACCATGTTTTTGTTTTGTTTTGTTTTGTTTTTTTGGTATTGGGGATTGAACTCCTGTCCTTGTGCTTGTGAGGCAGGCAGCAGAACCACTGAGCTAATTCCCTGGCCCTCCACCATGTTTTGATCTCATGATCTCTCTGCAGCCCCTATACAATTGACAACTGTACAACTGAGGAAAAGGAAGATGTGAGTCCAGCTGTAGGCCTGAGGTCACATGGCCTTAGATGTGCAACAGTGCTTTTGAATCTTTGATTTTATTTTTTTGTTTTGTTTTTTATTTGAGACAGGATCTTGCTATACAGTTCAGGCTGGCCTTGAACTATGTAGCCCACGGTGGCTTCAAACTCCAGACTATTCTGTCTCAGCCTCCCAAGTGCTGGGATTACAGGTGGGCACCACCATGCCTCTTGAATATTCTTTTCTCTTTTTCTTCTTCTTTCTTTTTTTTTTGGTAATGGGGATCAAACTCAGGACCTTGCACTTGCGAGACAGGCACCACTGAGCTATATCCCCAGCCCTTGAATCTTCTTTTCTGATCCCAGTGCCTACACATTCGATTAATACACATCTTTTGGGGAAACTTACAAGAGGGAGCTGGATTGGGTTTCAAAGATAGTATGTTGTGTAGGGGCAGGGAACGTGAAGCTGTGCGATCTCAACTATAAAAAAACACACGTTGTGGTAAAACTGCAATTAGTACTGTCCAGGTGATCCGCAGAGCCGAAAAGTAATCTAAGCCCTAGAGTAGTTACAGGGCAGGAACTGGAAAGGTCAGCACAGAAGGAAGCGTTGCCAACATCTCAAAAAACAAGCCCACCAATCCTTCTGCAGCCCATATAAGTGCCAGGATGGGAGCCCAAAAGAGGCAAGAGGTGCCAGCGTGGCTTGCTTTCCCCTACTGCCAGGAAACCCCCCAGGTGGCTGCGTACCAGGGAAGCTGGGGTTAAGGAAAGAACACGGAAAAAAAAGGCAGCAGATGTGGGCCAACAGCATCCCACTAGACTAGATGACTAGATGACTAGAGAGGTCTCTCCTTTGGGGCGAGTCTAAGGCATTCTTCTGAGATCTCAGTTTCCGGTTCTCTTCTGAATGAGAGGACGGCACGGGCTTCTTCTGCTCCGATGACAGAGGTTTCTTCATCTTCAGACTCCAGGAAGTGGTCGAGTTCTAGTTCAACAATGTGCCTTAGACGCCCGACCCAACTCCTTGTTCTCCCAGAAGGCTGCTCCATGGAAACCAAAACATCACAACTCCACCAAAGCATCGCGAGAAGCTAGGTCGCTCCCACTGCCCGGGAGGGGCGGAGCAAGGGCGGGGACCAGAGCGAAGTGGGAGGAGCCGGGGCGCTTCCGATGTCCGAGTCTGGAGACAGTCTTGCTTCAGGCGTCGCCCCCGCGTGACTGTGCTTTACATAATCGCCGCCTTGTGCGTCAGAGTGGCGTACTCAAGCCCAGACCGAATCAGAGTTGTCAGAAGCTCCGTGTTCCGCCCCTTTTCATTAGATCGACATCAAAATGAACCAGTGAACGGGCTTCCAGAGCCGTCGCGCCCGCCTCGGTTTGTCCCAGCCCGCCTGAGCCCGCCTG